TTATAATTTGAGTTTGTTTTATAGTGGATTACATTGATGGATTTCCAAATACTGAACCATCCCTGCATTCCTGGGATAAAGCCTACCTGATCATGATGGATGACTGTTTTGATGTGTTCTTGGATTTGGTTTGCGAGAATTTTATTGAGTATTTTTGCATCAATATTCATAAGGGAGATTGGTCTGAAGTTCTCTTTCTTTGTTGGGTCTTTGAGAGAATTAGGTATGAGTGTGATTGTAGTTTCATAGAACAAATTGGGTAGTGTTCCTTCTGTTTCTATTTTGTGGAATTGTTTGAAGAGAATTAGTATTAGGTCTTCCCCAAAGATCTGATAGAATTCAACACTAAAACCATCTGGTCGTGGGCTTTTTTTTGGTGGGGAGACTGTTAATGACTGCTGCTATTTCTTTAGGGGTTATGGGACTATTTAGATGGTTTACCTGCTCCTAATTTGACTTTGGTACCTGGTATCTATCTAGAAAATTGTCCATTTCATCCAGATTTTCCAGTGTTGTTGAGTATAGGCCTTTGTAGTAGGATCTGATGATTTTTTTAATTTCCTCAGTTTCTGTTGTTATGTCTCCCTTTTCAGTTCTGATTATATTAATTTGGATACTGCCTCTATGCCCTCTGGTTATAGGGTTTATCTATCGTGTTGGATTTTCTCAAAGAACCAGCTCCTGGTTTTGTTGATATTCTGTATCGTTGTTTCTACTTGGTTGATTTCAGCCCTGAGTGTGATTATTTCCTGCCATCTACTCCTCTTGGGAGTATTTGCTTCTTTTTGTTCTAGAGCTTTCAGGTGTGCTGTCAAGTTGTTAGTGTATGCTCTCTCCAGTTTCTTTTTGTAGGCACTTAGAGCTATGAGTTTTCCTCTTAGCACTGCTTTCATGGAGTCCCAGAAGTTTTGGTATGATGTGTTCTCATTTTCATTAAATTCTAAAAAGTCTTTTAATTTCTTTATTTCTTCCTTGACCAAGTCATCACTGAGTAGAGCATTGTTCAGTTTCCACGTGTATGTGGGCTTTCCATTGTTTTTGTCATTATTAAAGACCAGCCTTAGTCTGTGGTGATCTGATAGGTTGCAAGGGATTATTTCAACCTTTTTGTATCTGTTGAGGCCTGTTTTGTGATCAATTATATGGTCTATTTTGGAGAAGGTTCCATGAGGTGCTGAGAAAAAGGTATATTCTTTTGTTTTAGGATGAAATGTTCTATAGATATCCGTTAAATCCATTTGGTTCATAACTTCTGTTAATTTCACTGTGTCTTTGTTTAATTTCTGTTGCCATGATCTGTCCATTGCTGAGAGTGGGGTGCTGAAATCCCCCACTATTATTGTGTGAGGTGCAATGTGTGCTTTGAGCTTTAGTAAAGTTTATGTATGTGGGTGTCCTTGCATTTGGAGCATAGATGTTCAGAATTGAGAGGTCCTCTTGGTAGGTTTTTCCTTTGATGAGTATGAAGTGTCCTTCCTTATCTTTTTTGATTACCTTTGGTTGAAAGTTGATTTTATTTGATATTAGAATGGCTATTCCAGCTTGTTTCTTGGGACCATTTGCTTGAAAATTGTTTTCCATCCTTTTACTCTGAGGTAGTGTTTGTTTTTGTCACTGAGGTGTGTTTCCTGATTGCAGCAAAATTCTGGGTCCTATTTATGTATCCAGTCTGATAGTCTATGTCTTTTTATTAGAGAATTGAGTCCATTGATATTAAGGGAAAATGACTGTTTCCTGTTATTTTTGTTATTAGAAGTGGAAGTATGTTTGTGTAGCTATCTTCTTTGGGGGTTGTTGGAAGATTACTTCCTTGCTTTTTCTAGGTTGTAGTTTCTCTCCTTGTGTTGGAGTTTTCCATCAATTATTCTTTGAAGTGCTGGATTTGTGGGAAGATATTGCATAAATTTGGTTTTGTCATGGAATACCTTGGTTTCTCCATCAATAGTGATTGAGAGTTTTGCTGGGTATAGTAGTTTGGGCTAGCATTTGTGTTCTCTTAGGGTCTGTATGATATCAGTCCAGGATCTTCTGGCTTTTACAGTCTCTGGTGAGAAGTCTGGTTTAATTCTTATAGGTCTGCCTTTATATGTTACTTGACCTTTTTCCCTTACTGCTTTTAGTATTTTTTCTTTGTTTTGTGCATTTGATGTTTTGATTATTTTGTGATGGGAGGAATTTCTTTTCTGGTCTAGTCTATTTGGAGTTCTTGTATATTCATGGACATCTCTTTCTTTAGGTTAGGAAAGTTTTTCTCTATAATTTTGTTGAAGATATTTATTGGCCCTTTAAGTTAGGAATCTTCACTCTCATCTATACCTATTATCCTTAGGTTTGGTCTTCTCATTGTGTCCTGGATTTCCTGGATGTTTTGGGTTAGGAGCTTTATGCATTTTGCATTTTCTTTGACAGTTATGTCAATGTTTTTCATGGTATCTTCTGCACCTGAGATTCTCTCTCCTATCTCTTGTATTCTGTTAGTGAAGCATCTATGACTCCTGCTCTCTTTCCTAGGTTTTCTATCTCCAGGGTAGTCTCCCTTTGAGATGTCTTTATTGTTTCTACTTCCATTTTTAGATCCTGGATGGTTTTGTTTAATTCCTTCACCTGTTTGGTTGTTTCTATTGTAATTCTTTAAGGGATTTTTGTTTCCTCTTTAAGGGCTTCTACCTGTTTACCTGTGTTCTCCTGTATTTGTTTAAGGGAGTTATTTATGTCCTTCTTAAAGTCCTCTATCATCATCATGAGAAATGATTTTAATTCTGAATCCTGCTTTTCCCGTGTAATGGGGTATCCAGGACTTTCTATGGTGGGAGAACTGGGTTCTGATGATGCCAAGTAACTTTGGTTTCTGTTGCTTATGTTCTTGCACTTCCCTTTCGCCATCTGGTCAACTCTAGTGTTACCTGCACTCACTGAGTCTGACTGGGAGTCTGTCTTTCCAGTTATCTTGCTTGCATCAGAACTCCTCAGGGTTCAGATGTCGCTGTGATCCTGTGATCCTGAGCCCCTGGGTGGAAGAACTCCTGGGACTCAGGCCGCCTCTGGAATCCTGAAATCCTGCTGCTCTTGAGTGCAGTGGTTCCTCTAGGATGACTCAGGATATGGTGTCTTCACGGGAACAAACCAGCTAGTTGTTCGCTGCTCTCAGTGGAGTGGCTCCTCTAGAATGGCTCAGGATAAGGTGTCTTCACAGGAACAGACCAGCTAGGTGTCTGCCCCAGCCAAAAGGACCAAGTGAGGGGCGGAAGGGGAGTGGTATTCCAGAGGGCTGGGGTTTGGGTAGCTGATGGTCCTGAGCACCCCAGTTACCTTTACATATTAAAAAACAAAACTATCAGAATTATCAGGTGGGCTAATATCAGAGGCTGAGACAGAAGAACTGTCATGAGTTCAAGACCAGCCTGGGCTACTTCTAAATAAATAAATAGAATTACCAACAACTAAAGTCAACCACCCTTAAGGACAAATGGTGATTTTTACACCCTAAAAATATATGCAGGACAACAGTAACTATGTCCACTATAGTAACTATTAGACAACTATATTAGAATACAAGTAGAGAGTTTGGTCTTTTTCGCTATTTAAAATGACTGTTGGCATATTTCTAGATAAGGAAAAAAATAAGATGGCAGGTCTCACTAGAAAGTATAACCTCAAGTAACCAGTCACTTCAGGTTGAGGAGACCAATGCTGCTCCCCACCGGCTCTCAAAGTCCTGGCAGGATGTTACTTTGAGGCTGAGAATACTCCAGACAATGCTCTGCAAAAACCCAATTATTTGGTCGTAGAGACAACACAGACAGGACATAGATATTTATAAAAATGAAACCATATCTAACTTCAGCATGAAAGGATTTGTTAGCAAAGTTTATAGTACATATCTAAGATTTAGTCATAACAAAATAAGCACGTGGTAGCTAAATGACACTAATGGGAAATACTGTATGATAATTTCCAAAGTGTAAGTATGAAATACTGAGCGGCTGATTCGTCAAATACACAGCTGCCTACCTTTCACAGGCAAATGACTGTAAAGCACAACTTAGTGCTCTCAAGATGAAAAGGTGAAGCTGAAAGAAGATAAAGACATAATCAAGTAGAGTGGTAAAATCTATGCTATCACAGCAGGAATGCTCAGTCAAGACTGGACCACCTACAAGGAATTGCTATGTAGTAAGGAAGCTTGAGTTCAGGAAGCATACAAACAAGGACTGTTGTGAAAGTTCAGAGTCAGGACACACTTCATCTTAGAGAAATCAGATGGTCGACACTTGGTGAAAGAAGGAACATTGACAATAATAACACAGAAGAAATAAGAAAAGAAGTTAAAGGGCTATAACTCCATATTAGAACACTTGTGTAGCATGCATATGAGGCTCTAGATTCAATCCCGAGTACCAAACACAGAGAGTCTAGAACAAAGTAAATTTCAATAGTATAGAACAAGAGACAGGGACCTGCCTCTAGAAAGCCCAAGGTTTTGACTTTAAGAACTAGGAAGCAGGGTTACCTGCAGAAGAGACCATAACAGCTTAGCAAGAATGGAAAGATGAAGCCCCACACTGGTGGTAGTGGATGGGGGGGTTGAAAAAAATCATGTCCTTATTTGTAAAATCTTTTGTTTTGAAAAGTAACAAATTATTTCTACTAATGACTTACACAAAATACACTTAATTTTTTCTAAAAGCTTAAAATAATGTTCCACTAAAGCTAAGACATACTTTTTTAAGAGCTAAAAGGTTTTACTGATTTAAAGGGAGACCAGCACATCATAAAGATGTTAGTCAAGTGGTGAGTAAGAGTAATAGAAGACCATCTCTTCTGCTGTCATAACCTGTTTTAGCTACTAGGCTTTCTTTGTGTTGTTTTCAAGCTACTCAGTGAGGCCTTCTTTAGCTTACAGAACTTCTCATTTTAAAATGCTTCACCAGTGTCAGTCTGACTCAGGTAGTAGACATCCTTTGCTAGGAGACAGCTCCTTTCCATGACCGTTTACCCACCTGGTGCTATTAACTGGTGAATGCTTGATGTCCGTGTGACGGCTGTGCTCCGAGATTCCAGACCTGGGCTTCCTCCCTTCTTGCTCTCTGGAGAAGGGTCTCGTTGGCTGATTTTAGAACTGGTCACTGTTGTTTTATTATGGCAGATTGTCAAGGACTGGGTTTGACCAGCGCTTTTTGGTGGGCCATTCTGTGAGCTAGATAAGACACCCAGCTTCTGGCTGCGTAATGTTAAATTCTGAACCTAAGAACCACATAACAAAAAGTAAAGATAAAAACAGATGGCTTTAGCTGATATAGGAAACATTACGACGATAACAGCAATGAATATTATGCCTCTTACACAAGGAGAGCCAAGCTCCTTCGACAACTCACTGATCCCTAGGGAAAGAAGAATTGCCCATCTAAGTGAGCATCTTAAATGTTATGTGGCAGGTTTTAAACGCCCTAGGGCAGGTATGGGCTGGTGTGAGTGATGAAGAGCAGGAGGATGGGAAGAACAAGAAGAGCTAAATGAAAACCAAACAAAGACTGAGGGGAGGGCTGACAGCAATGAGCTGTAACTGTGAAGAGAGGGCTCTGCAAGCCGCTGCACTAAAAGTGAGTAACCGTGTTAGAGTAGTGCTGCCAGACTCCTGATTCACCCAATCGGCTACTCCATCGTGATACTCAGGGGAAGCATTTCAGGAAACTTAAATAAGGTTACTGACTATTCCTGAGAACTAGCTTTTCTGAGCTGAAACATGATACACAGCTCTGAAAGGGGTCTGTGTGTCCTGCCTACACCAGGGCCATTCTAACCACTGTAAACTGACAGACTTATCCCATTTCATCTCACTTGAGCTTATACGGTTCTCAACCACAAAGCAGAAAATGCCTTACCAAAATCTGCCTGGCTTCTTCCTATCTGGAACACCCACCAAATACAGTTAGTGCTAGCAGTAGTCCTCAGAGGGTCAAAGGGGATTCCAGCATGACAAGACTACAGACATGCTGCTGAGTTGTACCTTCTGCAGTCTCGGTGTCCTGACTCTATACCCACCTTAGCTAGCACTCAAGGCTATCTATACTCCCTGTCCAAATGCCAAACAGTGTCAACAGAAGGCAAATAATGTTCATGACAGGCAAGCTTCAACCAATTCTGTAGCTACTGTTAATCTGTAGAAATGAAGTACCTCTCCATTCAACACCACAAAAGACACATGTATTAAAAGCTTGGTGCCATACATGTGTGTTCGGAGGCAGCTCCTTTGGGAATGACAGATGAGGACTCTGCCTTCATCAGTGCTTACTCAGCAAAAGGACCTAAAATTTGAATAGACTATTAGGAGGCAGATCTGTAAAAGAGGAGACCTGCAGCCTTGGTCCCTCCCTGCCACCTTCTCTGCCTGTCTGCCAAAAAGTAAGCAAGTCGGTCTACCACACACTCCGTGCCATGACAGTCTGTCTCTCTGGCCCACACACTCCCTGCCATGACAGTCTGTCTCTGGCCCACACACTCCCTACCATGACAGTCTGTCTCTGGCCCACACACTCCCTGCCATGATGTTCTGCCTCTATGCCCCAGGAAAGAACAGCAAGGCCCCACCATGAACTGAAACCACAGGACAAAAGAAATTTCCCTCCTTTTATATTGTTTCTCCTAGATTAGTAGTCATGGCAACAAAAACTGACTAATACTACCATTGGAAAAACTTTCTGAGTGAGATCATACTGAGCTTCTCAGATTTTTCTCACATATTTCCCATTGTGTACCAACATGTATTAATAACTATTAGTATTAAAGTTTTATACAGAAGTAAAATGTACTGTATTCCTTGGGTTGCCAATCAAAAGCTCATGATATAAGCCCAAATAACACTGAATGAACCCACTTTCTCTTCTCCAGTCTACAGTTCTCATGTTCCTGCCAAACTGCTTTCACTGTGCTGCAAATGCACCATGTACATCCTTCATTTGTTCTGGCCCTGCTTGCCTAAATGTCATTCTTTCTCAAGCCCCTACTCCTAGTCCAATAATGCCCTTCCCTCTCTTAGAAGAGCTTCTGAAGTCCTGTGTGAGACCTCTCCTCCCTCCACTCCAGGATGTTCCCATAATGTCTAGCTGGTGTGTGCATTACTGGTGTGAGTATCTGTGAATGGTGAGACTCCTCGTCATTCAGAACCACAAACACAGGACGCTTCCTAAGTCTGGGATATTCCCTTACATCTGATTTTGAAACATACATCATATAACTATTTGAAAGGTTCCATTTAAGGTTCTTATGCTAACACTAAAATTTGTCCATATTTACTGACAAACTCCATCAAGTATCTTGGTGGAGGCACATTAAAATGTCTCTGGGAGAGCAGGGATGTAGCTAGGTGGGAGAACCTTTGCCTAGCATGTCCAGTATTACAAGAGGGAAAAACAACTGTATCAGGGATAGTGGCCCAGGCCTATACTCCTAGCACACAGAAGGCAGAAGCAGGAGGATCACAAACAAGTTCAAGGCCAGCCTAAGATACATCATTAATTCCAGCACAATCTTGTCCACATAGCAAGACCTTGTCTCCAAAACTAAGTAAATAAATAAACAAGTAAATAAAATGACGAACTCTTCCGGGAAAGGCTACATAATAGAGAACATGACATTTTCCATGAATGATCCATGCAGTATATAATGACAACCAAGGATAAGTAACCTGGAAGTCTTGAATGAGTCCTTCTTCAGAGTGGAAAGTGTGTAAGCAGTAAATGGAGACTTAACACCTGCACCGCCCCCCCCACTCCCCTCCCCCCCCATCTCTCTAACACTCTTGCTGTCTCCTGCAATCCTGGAAGGCAATAGACTTATCTCCACAGTTAAGTCAGACACTGTCAATATGAGCTTTGAGACTTTCACTAACCAGCTGCCATCCTCACTCACATACCAACTTGATATAAATAAATTTCAACACAGTAACCATAGCACCAAAGGTAATAGTTATTTTCTGTTGGGGAATTAAGATTACTTTGACAGTATCACTTTTGGGGGAAAAAAAATCCATGCTAAGACCCTGGCTTTAATTTTCATTTCCCCTGAACCAAGCCTATGATATTATGAAACCTTCTGACATTGTGCATGAGGTTTTTTCCTAACTTCACTCTAACATTTTATGATATATAATGAATATATCACTGCCAAAATAGTCTCAAAATCCTTTAACTTGAATCAAACACTTGAGACATTGTCACAGCGTCCTGTCTCTGCACAAGAGACGGGGAGTCGGTGTTACACTGTTCACAGTAGAGCTTTAGCTCCCAGCTTTTTAATCAAAGAGATCACTTCTCCTCAGATCAGCATTCCCCACAGTGCCCTTTCCTAAGGACGATTTCTTACTCTTCTACACATACACCTTTGTGCCAGTCATAGTGGTGCACACCTTTAATCCCAGCACTCCAGAGCAAAGCAGCTGGATCTGTGGCCAGCCTGATCGATATATTTTTCCAGGTCAGCTAGAAGTACACAATGAGACTAGGCCATATGTATGTGTATACATACATACATACATACATACATACACACACACACACACATACATACACATACAAACGTGTGTGTGTGTGTATTTCACTGAGGAAAAATTAACTGATATACTGACCTTTACAGTTAAAATTAGATTATTAAACTACAAATCTTTTTAAAAAGTAGAAAGTTTGAAAAGCAACAGTACTGAACCTGGAATTACACCTTTACTGAGTCAGCATCACCAACCACTGCCAGCCTCACCCACTGCCACTTCAAGAGCATAGTATTCACAGAAAAATGCCTAAAGACCAACACTCCTCCAGTTCTCCTGAAAGCCTTAACTACCTCAGACCTCGCAGAGTCACTCACATCCCAGTGCTCCCGAAGACCACTTTCATAAACTATATCAGCTGAATTAAAGATCTGTAAGAACATTTTCAGCATGAAAAATAGGTAAGCAAATTGTGCTCCAGACCTCACTAAACAGTCATAATCTCCTAAGCAACTGGCTTAGTGTAGAGACTATAAATCATTTAAATAGTTATGTTCCTCTCTTCATTTCTAGCTTTTTTTTTTCAGAGTTATGGCATAAAATATTTTAAAATTTGTAACAGTTTATTACATTGATCATATGTTGAAATGACAATATATTTTCTTTCTTTTTTAATTTGTATTCTTTTTTATTTAGTTAATTATTTAAATCAAATTGTAATTCTTATTCACAGAGGGGTTATAAACACAAAAAGGCAGGACATGGGGAAGGGGATGACACAGGATCATGCATGTTCAGGGGGAATACAGATATCTTTCAGAACAGGCTATCAGCTGGGGATGCATGTTCAGGGGACAGGTGGCTACGACTCTGCCTATGATTCACTTGTCCTTATCTAAGTTGGCATTTCTAGCTTCTTGAAAACTAAAAACCAAATGTGTAATTTGTCTTCAGGTAATGTCAAATAAAAACAGAAGTCAGTAGATATGGTATCTTGTTATGTGGCGGGCACGGTGCTAAGTCATTTTACAAGGGGCCTCATTTGTCCCTTGTAACAAGTGAGGCATCACTTCCAGTGTAAGTAAAAAAATTGGAGCTTAGCATCTACTGATGCTACCTAACAGGAGCAAGCTAGGAAAACTCTGGGTATACCTGATCACACTCTTTACAACTAACACATGAAAATCAGTTTTTATTATTAAATATGTTAATACACAAAGAGGTTCTCTAAAAAATAAATAAAACAATACTGTTACTACCTCATTTCTTACACTTTACCAGAAACTGAAACACGAAATGAAAACACAGTGCAGCAGGGACAGTGACTCAAGCCTGGAATCCCAGCACTGGGACAGACACTGAGACAAGAATACTGCCTTGAGTTCAAGGACTGCGGCCCGCACCAAGTGCCAGGCCAGCCAAGGGTGCACAGCAAGACACTGTCAAAAGAAGAAACTGAAAACACCCCAAATGAACAAAAAACATTATAAATATGTAATTAAATAAGAGGCCAAAAATGACGCAATGTGAGTCTGCCATGAAGTCCAAAAATAGCATCACATAAAATCTACTCAACTGTTTTAACTGAAAGTTTACTGAATCTAAACAACTTTATGACGTTTATTGAGGTATCATGTACAACGGGTGCAGCTGTCCCATGAGTTTTGACAGCAAGTATACACCATATAGCCACTGTCCCACCAACACACAAAACATCCTCCTCCATCTTTCCTCTCTGCCTCAAGCACTGTCGATCTCATGTTTTCACTACGGAAAATTTTCCCTATTCTGGAATTTTAAAGATACAGAATTGCTGGTGCACTTCTTGTGTCCAGCTTCATGCCAACCATGCTGTTAAGGGTTTCCCTTGCTCCTCCCACCTGTGAGTACGGTCCCACTGTGTGAGTACGACACCATCTGCTTACACATTTGGCATTTAAAGACTATTTAGCTGTCATAAACTATTGTAGCTCATCAGTCCTTTCAGGCACGCAGGTGAGTGTGTAATAACGCTCATTATGGTTCTGATTTGAATATATATATAATGATCTATGATGTTGAACATGTTTTCCATGTGCTCATTTTTTGTTTGGGGTAGTTGTTGATGATGAGACAGGGTCTTCCTATGTGGTTCTGGTTGTTGTGAAATTCACTACATAGACCAGGTTGGCCTCAAACTCATGGAGATCTATTTGCCTCCTAAGTGCTGGGATTAGAGCTGTGTGCCATGCCTGGCCTATATATCATCTTTTTTTAAAACTCTCTCTTCAAATCTTTTGTCCAAACTAACCTCATAATCAATTATTAACTATAGGCTTTTTAAAGATATTCTAGGTACAATCTCTGGTCAGATACATTTATTGTGAATAGTTTTTCTCATCCTGTAACCTGGGTACTTATTTTTTGTAATGATTCTTTAAAGAATAATGTTTAGTTTTAATAAAGTCCAATTTATCACTATTTTTGCTTCTAGTTAAACTTTGTACCCCTAGGAAAGCCTCACCTACCCTAGACTTGCAGAGACGCTGTCTACAGTTAAGATTTTACTTTTATCTTTAGGTTTATATTCTACTTTTAGTTTATTTTTGTGAATAAGATACAAGTTAACATTCATTGTTTTCCATAGTAACAAATAAAGTAATATTCTACTTAAGTTTTTAACTTAAATTTTGCCTGATTTAACGCATTTTTAAACTTAAAACTACCATCCACTTTGGCTTATATATTATATAACTGCTTGCAAAGAAATATACAAAAAAATATAATTCCCATAAAAAAGGAATCTAGTATACAATAAAACTAAAAATACAATGTCATTAATAAAACTCTCATTAACCTTGGTGAATACCTAATAACCTAAATCTCTGCTCAATTGTCAATTCTACAAAACAATCATGTTCTCAAAGCTCTCGGTGACATATGAATTTCACCTGAAAGGCATGGCCATGCCCTCTGCAGCAGAGGCTGAGCCGAGAGTGCAGTGCCCGTCTCTCCGAGGAGACACAGCCCTCAGGGCACACTGTGAAGCCAGACAGTCTCACCTGAGCAGCTGCAGACTGACAGGAAGGTGACGGTGACGACGAGACAACAGGGATGTCAGACTGTACAGCAGCCACAGTGGTAGCAGGTGTGAAAATCAGCTGTACAGACAGAAAACCAAAAGTAACAGCCTGAGACTAAAGAACATGTCCCACACACAATGTGCAGCAAGCAGGCAAGACACTGAACCCTGTGACAAAGAGACAATGCCAGTTAGGACTACCTCCTAAGCAAAAGGCTTCACATGACAAAGAGAAGGTTGTGATCACAGAGCTCAAAAGAGCCATCAACAGCTTTAAACAGCTCACAATTCTGAGAGTAGGAAAAAAATTTACTCTAAGAAAAAAATGTGTTTTGGAGATATGAAATTCTCAAAACCAAATTTGTTCAAAATAAAAGCTACTATCCCAGGATTCCTAAGATGTTAAGTGAAAATAAAACTATATTAGGATCTAGGTTAATTTCTGGTAAGAAACAGGAAAAGAAACACCAAAAAGTCTCTTCAGTGCACGCAGATAACAATGCCACACACTATACTGCAATTTCTCCACCACCTAGCTATAGAACAAAGTGAGGCTGCTCCTGATTAAAACTGTCTGTTAAAGGCTGTTTACTCTAAATGTAACTGTGGGGTGGGCTTCAGAGTGCTTAGATACACTATCCTAAAGTCATTCCAGGAAATACTCATCTGACTGCTACTTAAACTAACGTCAATGAGGGATATTTTCTAATCTTCAATATTTACTAGTGGGTGTTAAATATACAATACTGGCTTTCACTGTGACTTTCATGCATGTATATACATAATGATCACATTCACTACCCTGTCCCATTCCCCCTCCACCGCTCCTGAGCCCCTTCTTTTCTCTAGATCTTTTATACTTTAATTCTTTACTCACCTACTGACTCTAAGTAAATTCACCCACAGAAGTTCTCATTTTCAGTGCATGCAGTCTCAAATCACTCCACTCCAAAAGGAATATATTCCATTAGACTGAGTTATGTGAATTGCCCATTTTAAAGGTCAAAATCATCACAAGCAAAAAAAAAAAAAAAAAAATCAAACGGTTCAATCTAATTTTAAACCATATCATGAAAGACAGTATTATGGAGAAAAATAACCACAAGAGAAAGACGATGTGTATCCCACAATCTGTAGGCAGAATAAGAGCTGTGCCCCATCACTTCCCAACAAAAATACCACTGGGAACTTCCCAGCCAACTCTAAATGAAGACCTGGGATCAGATGTATATCCAGTTCATTGGCCAGAAACCTGCATATTAAGGAGGCTGATGATGCTGAATATCGATAGGATGCTTGCCTAGTATGCCTGAAACCCTGGGTTCAATCTCTAATACTGAGAAATTAACTAATACATATATATGTATATATGTATATATGCTAAAACATTTGTCTAACTTTGTCTACATTCCTTTTAAAAAGTTCAACAATTAAATCAGGAAATCAGTAGAAACCTAATTATAATATAATCAATTAACATTTCTATATTAATAAAAAAATTGAATTACACATAAAATACAACATCACAGAATCTGAGACAATAATAACCAAAGCTATGAATTATCTGAAAAACTATCAAACTCCAATCCAGATTCAAGAAGGTCCGAGGACAAATTCCTACTTATAGTTTAAAACTAAGGTTTTAATATTTCCAACTATTTCCTCAAATTTTCAATGTCAGCAGAATAAATGATTTTATATATACCTATAAGTACTAAAACTATAAAATTATTAAAAGCTCTTCAATTGTTGAAATGGCAAGAAAGTTTTTAAAATCAGTTACTAAGTATTAAAAAATATTTTTACCAAAAAAGTCTATAATTCAAAGTAGAATTTTTATACAAATTTTAACTGTACAAAGGCTGAGCATATATACACACACTTGTTAAATACTGCTTAAGTATTTAAAATGCCTCATTGCATCAAGTCCAGAAGTCCAGAAACACTGAACTCTCTAGTAGTTAGACGCTGGAAAGCTGGTGTTTTGTATCTTACCATTTGAGCTCGGAGATACATTTGAGCTTGGCTGGCTGTTAAGGTGGGAGAAGTACTCCCTAGTAGCATAGTCTGCTGGGTAATACTGCCGCTGGTAGAACTGGAAGCCTGGGAACGGTTCATCAGCTGAGCAGGTGTAGGAGAAGTGGAGAGGTTGATCTAAGGAAGATAACATAACAGGTCAGATGCTTCCAGGTTTTGCCTCTGTGTTCCTCAACTTCACCAAGCTGAAGCAGGCACTCAGCAGTTGAAGCCTCAAAGAGGGGCTCTGATCTTTGACAGAACCCTTTACTTTGGGCAACTATTTGCATATAAGCAGCAAAAAACAACACAGACTGCTTAAGAACTGGAACAACTTTTTAACATATCCACATTTCAGTAAGACTTCTAGCATCTTAAAATCTCATTACTACTACCTCCCCGAAATTAGGGCTAATGTTCAATTATTTTAATATACTACACAGTAAATAACTTTAAAGTTCTAATTTTAATACACTATTTTCTCACACTCACATTTTAAGGAGCTCCTGAAGTGGATAAAAATTAAAATACAAATAATTCATTCCTATACAGAAACCATACAGGTAACATAAAATTAGTGTAGTGTTTTCTCAAAACAGAAGAAAATGTAATTGCTACCTGTCAAACAGATGGAAAAATCCTGAATATTGGCTACAAAAATAATGTATAAATACTTTAAAGTTTAAAGTCACTACTTAAGAATTAATTAAAAGGATGTGGTGACTCATATAATCTAGCACTCAAAAGGCTGAGAAAGGAGGCCCATGGGTTAAATGCCATCTATGGGCTGTGGAGTAGGTTCTAGGCCAACCTAGGGTACATGAGATCTGGTCTAAACAAAAAAGGTAAAAAGAAAAAAAAAATTACTATATGGCTGAGAGGGTGGCACAAGCCTATAATCCAAGCACAAGAAATGCTGAGGCAGTAGGATTGTCAGTTGATGGTGAGTCTGAACTATGCTACACTTCAAGTTGCTGGATAGCCTGAGTTTGTTACATATTATTATGTAATAAGATACTACCTCAAAAAAAGTAAAGACTAGTGTGCAATCTAGTAAATTCCTAGAAATACATTAGACACTGGCCAACTTGCTTGGATCTGTAAAAGGGAAATGGAATGGGGAGGTCGAGAAGCAGAGAGAGATATATCCCCTTTCTCATCTTTCCAATTCATAACTATGTTCATGTATCAGTCATTCTTAATAATTTCAAATAGAATATAACTCAACCTCACCTTAAATCCTTTTTGTGGAACAAAGCAGAAAATAAAATTAAGAAATATTAGACTTCCGCTTCAGGAGGAGAATACACATCCATGTACTCAAAGACACTCTGCAATGCCTCACTATGAAGATGAGAGTGGAGTTAAAGTCACCAAGGGGCAGGGGAGGAACTGCCCACGTATCAGTAGGAAACTCAAACCCAGGCAGTACGCAACAGCTGCTGCCAAGGCTCCTCTACACCTATGACACCCACGTGGATACAAGGTCCACATTTGGCCTGCTATGCGGTAAAGCTGGAAGTGAGATCCTATTTTTTGAGACAAGATCCTGAAACAGGCTAATCAATTTGTAAAAAGCTGAGAGGCAGCTAGGAAGCTGTTACAACTGCCCTGACATACTGGAAGGCTGGAGGGAGACACCTATAACAATCAGAATTTCAGGTGTGCCATGGGTGAGTATAAAATCCAAATTCACACTCCCTACATAGCTCGTGAACACAATCCAGCTCATTAACATCTGATGGAACAAAATGGTGAAGCTGACTTTCCAGCAATCTTCTACCAGAGGAAATACCAACATCTACACATGAAATTCCTTTCATGAGGCCATGGATATCAGATTCTTGTTAAAATAATTATAAAAGCTATGAAGCAGAAATTTTCAGACATACTAAGGATTCAAGTTTATTACCAATGTCTCACTACAAGTAATCCATCAGAAAGTATCCCACCAAACAGAGTGGTCACCATAATGTCCTACCACTATTTACTTGTCTGTATCCTCAGTGTGCTCTAAAATCTGTTTTCTTTCAATTTTTGGTACACAATACTGTGCCTGACAGCACATCAACATTAAAAAGTTCTGAAACATGGGCTGTAGAAATGGTTCTGACAGTAAAGTACTCGTCACACAGAAGGAGGACCTGAGCTTGGTCCCTGTGCCAACATAATGGTGGGGCACAGTGGCACACATCCATAATCTCAGCACTGGGAAGGCAGACACGAGAATCCCTGGGCTTGCTGGATGGCCACTCCAAAGTAGGCAAGGAGCTCCAAGTTCAATTAGTAACCCTGTCTCAAAAACTAAAATGCAATATAACCACAGCAGACACCCTACGTGGATGTCAGTCTTCCACATGTGCACAAGTACACACACACACATACACACACACACACACAAGTACTGGAACACACTTTCCTCATGAGGGTGGAAGACTAACACACAATCCAACACAATAATGGATGCCTGAAACTAGGCTGTTTCAGAATGAGCTCTAAAAATGTTTTTTTCCCTTTCTAAAAGCTAACATCCCATATAAAACTAATGTATCTATCACAATCTCCTCAAATTCTTTCCTGTTCACCACCATGCCAGTTGTGGAAAGGAAATCAATTACTACTTGATTACATGCTATTAAGATATTTGCTATGTCTATATTCAAAGGAATATACTGTCCATGAAGGAAGGGTCTGTAACTCGTGTACACCTTCAGGGCAACCAGCATGATACTTAACAATAAAAAACTGTCTCCCTTCCCATAACCACCATGCCAAAATCTCATTATTAGCTCAGGTTCAGACACTATTCTACTGACAATTTCAGGCAACTGGACTGTATCCTAAAAGGATTCTGTTTACAGATGATCTAGCAACAGGTTTTTTGGTTTTTTTTTTTTTTTCTTTTTAAAGTATATTACAGGCTGTTGTGGGGCATGCGTTTAATTCTAGCATTGTAGAGGTAAGCCAGCCTGGTCTACGAACCTAGTTCTAGGATAGCCAAGGGCTACACAGAGAAATCCTGTCTCAAAGGAAAAAAACAAAAAACAAAAAAACCCACCCTTTATTAAAATTATCTGTTGCATATTCTAGCTGATGCTCATTCTTGCCGCTATTCATCCTGTAGCATAAGTCACACAGATTTTTATTATACATGTAAATTATTTAAGAAATCCTTGAAGAGTTATAAATTAACATCTAAGTCACTAGTATTCAAACTAGTTAACAAACCCTCTCTTTAAATACATTATTACTGAATAATTCAAAAACTGATTTGTCTGGCCAACTTTAAGTTGCAAAGCCTCTTCCGTCTTAGTCTGCCACAACAGAAAACGACATCCCGACAACTTGAGCAACAGAAACATAGGGCAGGCCTGTGTTCAGTGGTAGATCTGCACTCAGCCTGTGTGAGGGCCTGCATTCAATTCCCAGCACCACAAACTTTAAAAGTGGACATTGAGTTTTCACAGTTGAGAGGAATAAGTGAGGCCAAGCCCAAATTTCCAGTGTGGAGTCTCTTCCTGGCTAACAGCCCACTACCTTCTCCTACATCCTCCCATGCTGGAGAGATCACTGAGAACTTTTCCTCTTCAATAGACATCAGTTCTCTCAGAGGAGGATTCCACCTTAGGACCTCACTTAACTTTAAATCAGTTCACTACAAAGTCTATTTCTAGTATAGTAGCAGGGGTTAGGTTTTCAACTTATGAATTTTGGGGAGACACAATTCAGACCATATCATCATTTACTGAATCTTCTCTCTTTATTCTAAATGTAGATATATCTGGATGAAGAAAAAGCTAGAAGTCTAAACAGACAACATCAGAAAAACTTGGAGTGCAGGCAACCTAATGGCTTGCTTGCCCTAAGTTACATCATTGGTCACTTACAGAATTTAACATGAAAACATGCATGCAATCAAGCTCTCAGAATACATCATAATAGCAGTGATATCACTGGGTATTCTCATAACTTAAATTATTTTTTAAAAGCTTTTTTAATAATGTATACATATGGAGGAAGGGGGATTGCAGGTGAGTCCAGTGCCTACAGAAGCCAAAAGAAGGCATTGGATCCACATGCCCAGGAGCACCTGGCCAAAACCAAATCCCCATGCTCAAGAGTACCCAACCAACAGGAAAAGAACTCAGTCATAGTTCTGTGGGCTTTCTGTTTCATTTTGCTTTGTTTTGGTAATTTTTTTTTTTTGTATTATTGGTCTTTTGCTTGTTTGATTTTCATTTTTGTGATTTTTTATTTCTTGTTTTGGGGGGTTTGTTTGACTTGGGTTTTTATGGAGGGGAAGAGAGAATATAAAGTTAAATGACTGGAAAGTAGGGGAGGGTCTATGAGAAGCTGTAAAAGGGAAAAAACATGATCAAAGACCTCAACAAAAAAACAGACACACAGTCTAGAGAGATGGCTCAGTGGTTAAGAGCACTGACTAACTTCAGATGTCCTGAATTCAATTCCCAGCAACCACATGGTGGCTCACAACCATCTATAATGGGATCTGATGCTCTCTTCTGGTGTATCTGAAGACAGTGACAGTGTACTCACATACATAAAATAAATAAATCATCAAAAAACAAAAACAAACAAACAACAACAAAAACAGACACACTGAACCTAATAGAAGAGAAAGTGTGGAGCGGCCTTGAGCGCGCTGGCACAGGAAGACTTCCTGAACAGAACACCAATAGCTCAGACACGAACACCAACAACTAATAACTGGGACCTCAGGAAACTGAAAAGTGTCTGTAAGGCAAAGGACACTGTCAACTGGACAAAACAGCAGCCCACAGAATGGGAAAAGATTTTTACCAACTCCACATCCAATAGAGAACTACTATCTAAAATATACAAAGAACTCAAGAAACTAGGTATCTAAAATGAGGTATAGACCTAAACAGAGAATTCTCTGTAGAATCTCAAATGGCTGAGAAACACTTAAAGAAATGTTTAACATCCTCAGCCACCAGGGAAGTGCAAATCAAAACTAGGATGAGATTTCATCTTATATCTGTCAGAACGGCTAAGATCAATAACACAATAACGGCTCATGCTTGTGAGGCTGTGGAGCAAGGTAAAACCTCCTCTATTGCTGGTAGGAGTATAAACCTGCAAAGCCACTTTGGAAATCAATATGGCGGTTCTTCAGAAGATTTGGGGATAGATCTACCTCAACACACGTAAAAAGAGAATAGTATGCGTGTGTATTCATATATAGAGTATTAAATTTTTTTCAGTAAGAAGAAAATTTTTAATTATACATATGTACAGCAAGTGCTCTTAACCACTGAGATATCTCTCCAGCTCCCATAAATGTAGATTTAATCCAAAACATTTTTTGTTTGTGGGAGGGTGGTTCTTTAGTCATAGGGATTGAACACAGAGCCTCAAGCATAAGCCAAGTATTACCATTCAGCTATATAGATAGTTATGGTGGTGTGTGCATGTAATTGTATCACTTGCAAGTGGAAGCAGGCGGATTAGGAATTCAAGATCCTCCTTAGCCAAATGACAATGACCAGCCGAAGCTAAAGGCCTTGTCTCAAACAAATAAAATTCTGAACTAAGTTATCTTGTGAATGGTCATATTCATCTTTCGATGAATAAAGAACCTTTTGTATTTTAGAAATGTAAACCATTTTAACATAAGTGCAAATTTACTTCTATTTTGTTGGTTTTATTATTTTTTTGGCAGCAGAGTTTATTATTGATTTAATTTTCATTTCAGCAATACAAATTTAATTAAATCTTGCCCCTGCTCCACTGAAGGGCTAATGACACCAACCTCTAGGCTCAGTTGCAATTACTTTTACAAATGATCATAAAGCCACCACAGGAATGAGTAAAATAGTCTGAAGTTCAGTATTCTGTACCCCAGAAGGGACAGTGGAGGATGCTGTCTGTACCTGCTCAATACCTATGCAGCCAATAACACTTCACTTTCTTTTTTTTTTTTTTCTTTTTTAAGGTTTTTCAAGACAGGGTTTCTCTGTGTAGTCTTGGCTGTCCTGGAACTCACTCTGTAGACCAGGCTGGCCTTGAACTCAGAAATCCGCCTGCCTCTGCCTCCCAAATGCTGGGATTAAAGGCATGCACCACCACCGCCCGTCTAACACTTCACTCTCTAAGCAACACATTTTCCTTGGGTCATGTGACTAGACTCTTAATAAAGATTTATATAATATTGATTCCTAGGCTATATTTCCACTTATCTAAACAGGAATGAATCCCTGCACATGGCTTCATTATTACCTGAAAACCTATCATAAAGTAATTAAAACACTCAAATTTGGTAGCTCACACCTGTGATCTCAGGAGAATCATCAAAAAGTCACTGCTACCCTCAGGCTACAGAGTGAATGAGACCTGCCTCAAAAAAACAAAGGCGGGTAGGGATTCTCCAAAAATGAGCAGACTGCCACCTAATAATTCATTCTTATTATTACTACCTAGAGCTTTCTCCACTATTGACCTGAATGTTATAAGCCACTTTAGCTACTGAAACATGCTTCTAGTGAAATCACTTGTGGAACAACTGGCTGCCCAGAACAGTAAATAAACTAACCATGGCGTACTGTCCTCTTTTTACCTGGCATCTACTCTCCCTAATACTTCCACCCAGCCAGCCACTCACAGTTCTGGTGCACTCCATGGAACAGTGCTGTCTAGTTTATGACAGGTAGCATGAGTTATATCACTTAAAAAACATATTCACTTGAAATTACAGCTTCTCTGAGTACCTTATGCATAAAATCATAAAGAGAAAAAATATTTTTAAATGATATCAATAATCGTAACTTCAGTGTCTATAATTAAAGCTATATGACATTAAGTCCTTTCATTCAGTCTAATCTTATCTACACTGAATAAAAGCAATTTCATACTCTCAGATACTTTCATGATGTAAGTTTTTACTATTTTATGTATAGGAGCATTCCGCCTGGCACTCAGGAAGATCAAAAGATGGCATCAGATCCCTAGACTAGAGATAGAGTCAGCTGCAACCCATCAAGTGGGTGCTGGGAACCAAAGCTGGCCAGGTCCTCTGTAAGAGCAACAAATGCTCTTAACCACAGAATCAACTCTCCAGAAAACTAAGTATATGCTGCCTAATCCACATACTTTAGCAAACACACACCCTTAAGTAAATATAAGTTCATCTTCAACTCCATAAACCTACAGACTGTATTTCATTGGAGTTAACTTTGCAAAGTATAAAAGAAGTAATACCACCTTAGACCAGAAAAGACTAACTAAAAAGACTTTCTTAGGAAAATTCAATGGTTTTCAACTGCAGAAAGTTTGCCAACCAAAAGACATTTTCAGTTGTTATGTTGGAAAGGAGGAAGCCACAAGATACTGCTGTTATCTAGCTGGCAAAGGAAGGTATGCTATTGTCCTGTAAGGCCAGCCTCTGACAGCCCCTGACAACAGAGAGCTATCTGGCTCATAATATTTTTGATTAAAAGTTTAAGAATGACCTGTATTGTACTGATTAAACTTCTAGAATTTAATAGCTTTCCTGTGGCTTCATAAAAAAAAAATGACCTTGTTCTCAGAAAATATATCAAAGTATTTAAGAATATAACTCAACTGACTTTTAAATAGTTCAAAAAAATGTGTGTATACGAAGAAAGACAAAGTGCACAAGTAAAATTAGTGAACCTGAGCAGACAATATACAGAATATTTTTATTACTGTTTTAATTGAATTATATCAAACTAAAAAGTTGACATGTATTAACATGTCTATACAGATTTCTTTTATCTAAAAAATAGTACATACTTTTTGGGAGAGGGTTTTATGGTCTTGTTCTCAATTCTATGATCTGTTCCTAGAGCTGGTGTCTTATGATCTAGTTTCTGGGATACTGTGTTAGTTGGGGTTTCTACTGCTGTGAAGAGACACCATGACCATATCAACTCTTATAAAGGAAAACATTTAATTGGGGCTGGTTTACAGGCTGAGAGGTTTAGTCCATAATCCTCATAATAGTAAGTATAGCGACATGCAGGCAGACCTAGTGCTGGAGAAGGAACTGAGAGTTCTACATCATGACTGACATCATGATAGGAGACTGCTCCACTATGCCTAACATATATGAGAGAGACCTCAAAGCCCACCTCCACAGTAACAAGCATCCTCCAACAAGGCCACACCTCGTAACAGCGCCACGCTCTATGGGCCAAGCATTCAAACACATGAGTGTTGGGGGGTTGTTTCTATTCAAACCACCACCTAGTACAGAAAAATGGCTCTCTTTTATACCTTTCTCAAAATAAACTCCCCGCCCCAATGGAATGTGTGTGTGTGTGTGTGTGTGTGTGTGTGTGTGTGTGTTTACTGCTTGTTGTTTTTAAGTCATTCAAAGACATGACATACTTTTCAGTACTTCAGGCTTTCAATAAATTCTGAAACTAAAAAAAATTGAGAATCACAAGACATTAAACATACTCAGTGGGAAAGATGTGTAAAAATACAAAAAGGCTTTAATAACATTCAGATTCTCAAGCACTGGGAAGACAAGTCAATGGCTGGATGGACTGCTACAGCAGAAAACTAGAGTCCAATTCCCAACACCTACAGTGGGCAGCTTACAGCCACCTGTAACTTTAATTCCAGAGCCATCTGATGTTTCCAGCCTCCTTAAATCTGCATATACAGGCTAGAGAGATGGCTCAGTGGTTAAGGCCACTGAGTACTCTTCCAGAGGAGTGGGGCTCAAATCCCAGCATCCACATGACAGCTCACAACTGTCTATAACTCCAAGATCTGACATTCTCACACAGACATACACATGCAGGCAAAACACCAATGCTCATAAAATACAGATAAATAAAATTTTAAAAAGATTTTTAAAACCTGCATAGCACAGATGAACACATAATAAAAATAAAAGTAATCCTTTTTAAAAACCTCAGATTTTTAAAACTTTAATTACTCCTATTTCCAGACACTCATTAACTGAACAGCAGCTTTATTAATAACAAGTTTACTTTTGGAAAACAACAATTAAAATTTTTAAATCCAGGAGAAATTTTAGTATACTTACAGATGTCTGGGACATACTTGACTGTTGTGTAACACTGCCTGTGGGGGATGTAGATGGTCTTCCACTGGACAAACTTGCCTAAAATAATAGAACTATTGTAATATGTCTGTAAAAACATTAGGTTGAAAACTTCCTTGAGCGAGCAGAACCTTGACAGAGACAGCTTGTTGACAAACATCTTTATCTCCCTTATGTTTCGAGTGCTTGACAGTCAATAGAAAACATGACAGGGGGAAAAAAATCAAAACCAAAAGCTACTTTTTTGAGCCACATTAAGAGTACAATAAAAATTCTAAAGTCTATGTATGAAACAAATCATTTGATAGACAACATGGCTTGGTCCTGGCTTTTTTTTTTCTTGAAGAAAACCCAAAGCTGAAAGGTTTAAAACAAAGCCCCCTCCCGTACACTGCCTATTCTTATGTCTACATTTCCCTATGTACTTTTTGTTACTGTACGCACACGCTTCACTGAACACATGTGGGTCCCAGGGATCACACTCAGTCCATCAGATCTGTTGACACACTTGGCAGCAGGAGCCTCGCCCCCTGAGCATCTCACTGACCATATTCTTCTTTTATTAGCTGCACTCTCACAATGCAATTATACTGGTAACTGTCACATGCCATCTGAGCTCACTGAGCAGCTAGTAGTAGAAGTGGGATTGACACCTACATATACACACACACACACACACACAGACACCTAAGCTCCAAGTATGTTTATTTTGTTAAGGGTCTACTGAGATCCCTTGCCTGAGAATGCACTAGACCCTACTAGCTCTGTGACACAGGAATAAAGCAGAATTGCCCAAGAATAAAAATGTCATGTCCTGGAAAACAACTAGAAGATAAGCCATTCCTATCTGATATTATTATTGTCTGGCCCATGAAATACAGGTGCCTGTACTGGGTCTAGAAAGATGGCTCAGTGGTTAAGCTGGATTCCCAGCATCCATGGCAAGTGGCTCACAGGTGCTCCAGGAGAGCCAATGCTCTCTTCTGGCCTCCACAGGCACTAGCACACAGGTGTGCATACAAGCACACATATGTACACATAAATAAATAACAAAATCTTTAAGTAAATAAATAATAAAATAAAAGGGGAAAGGCTGAAAGTTCAGCCTCGTGGGGGTAGGTATGGATGGAGCTCAGCCGTGCAGAGAAGGCTCACTTGAAAGAAAGCTCTAGATGACTGACTCACTTCGCTGGTGGGTTTTGGCTGGGGGCTATGAGCAGCAATTTGATCATTTCACCCCTAAACATTGCCATGCATTCTATGACTTGGAAGCTTCAGCCTAAGGGATAGTGCTTCAGCTGGGCACGTCCACTGGAAACAAGAGGTAGCAACCTTAACAGAGCTTCCCCAGTAGGGTTCCTGCGGGGTGTTTGCAAGCCTCTGGTTGGAGGGTATCACTTTTCTGTTTTTCGTGCTGGTCCTTGGAAACCTTGCCTGAGGGGACATGCAGGCTACCCATCCAGGAACTCCAACTGACTGCCTCAATGGGCTTGGACTGCTGTCTGTTTTGACTACCTGATTTGATGTTTTTCTTTCTATTAATCTATTCATTTACTTTCACTTGCTATGTACTTAATAAATTCATCCATTCAAAACAAAAAATATGCTTGGTGGTGGTGGCATATGCCTTTAAATCCCAGCACTCAGAAGGCAGAGGCAGATGGATCTCTGTGAGTTTAAGACCAGTCTGGTTTATAGAGTGAATGCCAGGACAGCCAGGAGAGATACCCTAGCCAAAGAGATACCCAAAAAATTAAAGAAACAAGACAAAAAAAAAAAAAAAAAAAAAAAGAGTATGGTAGACCATTCTCCAGAGTATAAAAACAATGTTGAGGTTTGGTCTGTTGCTATGTATTGTAATGCTAAATACTGGCCCCACCATCCAGTTGCCCCCAGGGATGAGGAAATCTTCATTTACACCATGTGATACTAAGTAGCCTTGCTCCTTAATTTAAGTGTTGGTAGAATTAAAGATGCCTGTAGCTGGGCAGAAGAGAAGTAGCAAAGTTTCAGTTCCCAGGGTTGGGGTAGGAGATAGGACCAGGAGAGGATGGAGAAGGGGAGAGAGAAGGGTGCCGTGGGGTAGGTGAATCATGAAAATGAGGCAGAGGGCTAGCCAGTTGGAGCAAGAGTGCCCCAGGCAGAATGTAGCTAGTCAAAGCTGGGGTTATTGGCAGGGAAGTAGATATAAAAGCACAAAGGGTAGATACCTATCCAACTCTAGTGCTGATGAAAGCTTATCATAAACATAGAGGCCTTGTGTCTTTTATGGGACTGGATGATTAAGGCAGGGCACAAGCCCAGCTGAGATTAATGATTACCACAACAAAACACTCACCATCAGTCTCACTCTTCCACTACCTTTGAAGTGGGGCTGCCTACACCATCAGGAAAATGAAACTAAGTGGGGGAGATGGCTGTGGGTAAGAGCTTGCTCTGGAAGCCTGTGGGCCCAGCGTCTGAATCCCTAGCATTCATACAAAAAGCCATGCAAAGCTTCACCTGAAGCCTAGCACTGAAGGGCAACGGCAGGGAGATCCTACAAGCGGCAGCCTAGCTGCATCAGTCAGCTTCTGGCTCCTGACAGACCCTGTTTTCAAGGCAATCAGGAGGGAGAGCTACAGAGGAAGACCATGAAGAAAGACAACTGGCATCCTGCCCTGGCCTCTACATGTGCACACATGGGAACACACATTCACACACATGTGTAATCACATACAACATATCAAAAACATTAATAATTTTGTAAAAAAAAAAAAAGAGAGAGAGAGAAGAAAGAAAAAGAAGCAGGCTGGTGGCAGTGTACATCTTTAATCCCTGCACTCAGGAGGCAGATCTCCGAGTTTGAGGCCAGCCTGGTCTTCAGAGTTGAGTTCCAGGACAGCCAGGGCTGAAACTTGAGCTATTTCAATAGCCAGTGGGTTTCCATTGCCTTAAATCATAAACATAATTATTACTTAAAATATTTTTTAATTCTCTATTGAAGTTGGCATATTGGTATACACCTCTAATACCAAAATTTGCAAGGTAGAAACAAGTGAATCTCCATGAGACTGACATCAGCCTGGTCTAGATAGTGAAGGCTAGGCCAGCTAGAACTAATAAGACCCTATCTTTGTTAAATAAACAAAAAAATAGTACACTATTGAAAAGAAGCAAAAGCTGGTATTTATAAATAACAGAAATACATTTTTTTTCAGGTTCTGCAAATTAAGATTATTTTCTGGTCAGATTTAAGATTAACAACTAAATCTCATAAAAAGTTTAAACAATATTAATTAAAATTGTTTTTTCTTTTTCCTTTCTTTCTTTCTTTCTCTCTCTCTCTCTCTCTCTTTTTTTTTTTTTTTTTGGACCTAGCTGTCCTGGAACTTGCTCTGTAGACCAGACTGGCCTCAAACTCACAAAGATCTGTCTGCCTCTGCCTCCCAAGTGCTGGGATTAAAGACCTGCACCACCACCACTGGGCTGAAAATACTGTTTTTTTTAAACAAAAACATTAATCATAAAATCAAGTTATTGATAGGACTACTTTCAGATTTTAGAAAGGTACACACACACACACACACACACACCCGTGTGTGCCGCCATGTGGCACCTCTAAAACTCAGGCGTTGACAAGTGTAGAAGAATGAACAACTCTACTTCATCTACCACTTGTAATTTTATCTCTCTTGATGTTCTTTATGAAGATACACTACCTATGTAAAAAAAAACTTTCTTTTGGTTTAAAAAATGTAATTCATGTAACCTTAAACATTCAATGTTGTACCTAAAATTTTGGAGACAAAAGTACACCACATACAGAGCATTTACCCAACTTAAATAAAGAGCAACACACCAACATGTCTATTCTCTTCCTGGTGAACTTGTATGTGTCAGCCTAGGAACCCATCTCCTCAGGAACAACAAGCACAGGACTCTAAGAGCTCTCCGAGAACACCTGCCCACAGACGTCCAGTAATCCCTGTCTAACACACACTGTCCGCCCGGTCTCACCTGGACCGCTGCAAGGCTCTGGAGCTGGGAGCTGCTTAGATGCTGCTGCTGAAGAGCGGCCGTGTGCAGCATCAGGTGCTGCTGCTGAGCCGCATACATCTGCTGAAGGTACTGAGCCGCCGAGCTGGGGGGGCGGTGCAAGGCCTGCTGAATTACCTGTGATAAAGTAAGAGAGTCTATGTCAAACCATCCTCTCAAAACTTTACCATGCACCCATTACAAATGGTAATACAGACAAATGCAATGACCACCAGCCACAAGTCTAGCAGGGACATAAAAATGGCTAGGGGAAAGAGTGGGTTTTAACTTAAAACTAAAGTTGAATTTTAAATTTAATGTAAATTGCTACAGGTATACCTACTGTATTATACAATGCAGATATTGAGCTATACAGTAAGTACCAAATACATCACAAAGTGAAGAAAATCATTTTGAATAAGATACTATTTAGGAGATACTAAGGCAAGGATATTGGAGGTGACTGTTAATGTTTGGCTTGTCCTTTCTACATATGTCTGAAAGTTCTACAATGAGTATTATATTAAACATTATATAAAAGTAAAGAGGTATTTCTCTTTGAAAATGACTCAATAATTTTTAAATTTCTAAAAAATTCTCTGGTTCTTTGTTTCCACACAGGAATACTCTTAATCGTTTTTAAAATGTACTTATTTATGTGTGCATTGGTATAGCATGGCATGTGTGTGTAAGGCCAGAAGACAACTTTTAGGAGTTGGCTCTCTCCTTCCACCATGTGGGCTCTGGAACACAAACTCAGAATGCCAGGCTGGAAGATAAACATCTTTACCTGCTGAGCTACCTTGCCAGCTCCTGGGACTTTGGTGAACTATTTTAACAACTCCTATAGTTGGGGAGTTGGTTAAGGACCTGAGCATGGTTCTAGCAACCATGTGGCAGTTCTCGACTGCATATAATTGCAATTCCAGGGCACTGGACGTCATCTTCTGGCCTCTGTAGGCAAGCAGCACACACGGTACACATTATACAGGCAGGCAAAAAACACATTAAAAATATATTAAAATCTATACAGAACTGGAGAGCCAGATCAGCTGTTGAGAATACTTGCTCCTCCTGAGCATCAGGATTCAGTTCCCAGCACCCACAAGGCTCATAACCTATCCATAGCTCCAGTTCTAGAGGACTAGACGCCCTCTGCTGGCCTTCATGGATACTGCATCCATTTGGCTCCAGAACATTTTTAATAAAATAGAGTAATTTTTAAATAAAGTCAAAAATCATTAATTATAGTGAGCAATTATTAATAGATGTAGAATCTGAGCCTAAAGAGAGAGATAAATATTTCTAAAAAGACAATAGAAAACTCCTCTCTCTATCTGTTCAAATCAAGTCAAAGTGCCTCAGAATGGCACTGTGACTACAGCAGCACAGGACGCTAATCTCAGCCGCACACCAGAGTTTTAAACATTCTAATGTGGTAGGAGTGTAATAACCCATAATAAGTCAGGGTAACTGACATGTAGCCATGGATCCCTTTACTCAGAGTTCCATGAGTTACTGTTCACTCGCAAGCGTTCTTCTCTTTCAAGCTAGACTGTTCCTGCTGCAAACTCTGCTCACAGATCTCCAGTTGATTCCTCATAGCAAAAGACTATGTATGAAACACTGAGTGGCTCAGAACTACACTATTCCTCTTTGGTCACATAAATCCATATATGATCTAACGCCATGACAAGAGAAGAGAAGACTCAAGGCTTTTCTGTCAGCATAGTAATTTCCTGTGGCAGCATCATCTCCTATCCTCTACCAGACACCTGGCAAACCAGATACCTGGCACTGAAATTACAAGCTAAGGGCACAATAGAGCATTCTCATTTTGTTTCTCTATTGAAACCAGGGTAACGAAAATCCACATGACTAAAAAAGAAAGCTTCAAAGTTAAAGAACTACTTAAGTGGTTCAATGAACGTAGCTTTGAAAATATTTTAAATGGGAAATTCAAGGACCTACAATAACTAGAGTTTGGGCTTCTTATGAGACATATCAGCACCTGCAATGTCTCTAGTAGCATTACATTTTTTAGTTTATCCAGCATAAGTGAAAGTGAAAAATAAATGGCACAGTCAAATATCACCCTATCTGTATGTTCTTCAAGATAATACTCTTCCTGTGCACTCAAGTCTGCATTTCTAGTGAGCTGACAAGGTCTCCCCTCCAGCAGTTCTCCACAGTGACTTCAGAACTGAATTCTAAACCACAGAAGAGTTACATAGATTTTTCACTGAATATTTATCATGAGGAACAAAGCAAGGGAAGAGTGTAGCACAAAGAGTGAAGAATGCAATAGTAAAATAATATTTGGATCCCAGTCTTTAAAAAAATGGGGATGGGGGGCTAAAAAGATGGCTCAGCAATTAAGAGCACTGGCTCCTCTCCCAAAGTACCCAGGTTCAGTTCCCAGCACCCACATAACAACTCACACCTGTCTGTAATTCCAGTTTCAGGGGATCTGACAACCACACAGAGACATGCATGTAAGCAGAAAAATCAATGTACGTAAAATAAAAATAAATAAATCATCAAAAAAAAAAAACCTTTTAAAATGCAATTACAACCCTAGAGGTGGTGGTGTACACCTTTAGTCTCCAGCACCTGAGATTAAAGGCAGAGGCAGGTGGATCTCTGAGTTCAAGGCCAGCCTGGTCTACAGAGCAAGATCTAGGACAACCAGGGCTACACAGAAAAATCCTGTTATTAAAAAAACAAACAAACAAACAAAACAAAATGCAATTATAAGAATTGAGAATTCTAGAAAAGTGAAGGTAAAAAACAAGCATATAGCAGCAAGAACTCGAAGTAGTTACTGGAAAAAGCGGAAGTCAGAAAGCCTACCAGCAATGTGAGTTTAGAAGTATTATTTAGCTTATTTAAAACACTGGTTTTCCTATTTGTAAAATCCCTACTGTACAGAGGTCTGGGAGGATTAAACAAAATAATCTACATAAAGAAAGCATTTGTTAAATGCCTGGCACATAAAAATTGTTCAATGGATCTACTGTCATTTATAGAGGCCAGTAATGTCTCCCACACAATTCTAGACACTTCTTTTAATTCTTATAGTAACTATCAAAGTACACAGTGTTATCCACATTTTACTGTTTCCTGGGACTTCTTTCACCCAAGGGCACACAGATACAAATGATGACAACTGAATTCAAACAAAGAGCCATCAGACCGAAACACACACGTCTTTCTAAAACAATGCCATGTTGTCTCTATTGGTATAAAGTTCAACTAAATCAATTTTACTTTCTCAATCAAATAACTATACTAAAAACCTTTCAAACTATTCTCTTCCCTCTCTACCCCAAGAGGCTGTAGAACCTTCCTGCTTACTGTTCTTATACCACCTGAATGTGCAAAGTTTTCTGTAAATGTATATGTTGCACTCAAATATAAAGTAAGTCAGAAAAGCAGCTATTCTAAATACCCCACCAGTAATATCTTCACTCTTAAAGCTGTATTTAGAGGCATTCAATCATAATTTTCCTGGCACATAATCTTATAAGCTTCCTGTTGACAAATATAAGTCCTCTGAATAGTATAATTATTAAATAACTTTATCGGTTTTTCAAAAATTAACGCTTTCTTTCTTTTACTTGATTTTTCACAATGCTAGAGATCAAACACAGACTAGCAAACATTCAACCACTGAGCTCCATTCCCAGCCTGAACTTTTACAATCCTACTATCCGAGGATATAAATCAACACATACAGCTGACTTGGGCACAGAACAATATCCCATCTTTGGCCTTAACGCCCGGCGTGTGCGGCTGAAATACCTGAACAGCATGTCGGTCTGACCCACTGTAGACAGAGATCTGCGGCTGCTGCATTCGAGAGGAGGATGTGGTGATGGTGGTGGTGGTGGTGCTGCTGGCTGTTGTCGACACAGACGTCCCGGAGCTCGGCTCACTGTCCATAGCTGTACTGTGGTCCTTAAACCTGGTAGATAACACGAACCATCAGTACTGGGGAAAACTACTACCTATGAGCTTTGATGAATACTAGCTACAAAGAAATGGTCAGTTAAGAGCCTACAGTTCTAGGAAGGCCTCAAAAAATAAAGCTAGCCCTCAATCAGCAAACAGAAGAGAAACATACTACCCTTAAATACAGAATACTTGATAGTTACTATCAGTTAAACTAAATACAAATGACTGAGAACAGTAACTGAGATGAACCCTAGGGTGAAGTTTATGTTTGCATTATTGAAAAGGGACAGATTTAAGCGATGTGGGAGTGGGCACGGTGTCCTATTCCTACCAAGAAGCTATCTGCAACTGATGCCCATTGGCAATGGGAAAAATCAATTTTCTCCAATGGAATCTCACTAGTTATATCAACCCACACCTCAGGGCAGCTCCCACACTTAGAAATAATTAACCAAAACAAACTGAACTAAATAGTATTTCTGTGGACTTTTTGCTACATTTTGCTTTGTTTTTTGACAATTTTCTTTTGCTTATTTATTTGGATTTTTGTTTTTAATGGAGTTTTCATGGGGAGGTGTTTCTGGGATTCTCTATTTCTTTTCTTTTCTTTTCTTTTCTTTTCTTTTCTTTTCTTTTCTTTTTCTCTCCAAGACAAGGTTTCTCTGTGTAGCCCTTGCTGTTCTGAAACATGTTCTGTAGACCAGGCTGGCCTCAAACTCAAAAATCTGCCTGCCTCTGCCTCCTGAGATTAAAGATGTGGGCCACCACTACCACCACTAAGGTCTTTCTGGAGTTTTGTTTTTTGTTTTTATACTTTCTTCTTTGTTTAAAAAAGAGAGAAAGGGAACTCAAAGTTGGGTAGGTAGGGAGGTGGGGAGAAGCTGGAAGAAATTGTGGGAGGAAAAAAAATAACCAAAATATGTTGTATGAAAAAAAAATTTTTTTTCAATAAGAAAAGACAAATTTAAGACCAAAAGATAAAGTAGTGAGAGAATATTAAGGGGTAGGGCTTAAGCAATATCAGAGTTCTTTGCTTATTTTTGTGCTCTTGGGTCTATGGGGGAAAGGGAGTATGTGAGTGTACCTGTGTGCCCTTTGTACATTCATATGGGGAATTAGGGACAGTTCTTAACTACCATGTGGGTATGGGGAATTGAACCCATGTCCCCTGCAAGAACAAATACACCTAACTGGGAGGCATCTCTCCGCCCCTCAAAGTCACTCTTAGAAGATTCCTAAGGACTAGCTTCCTAGTTTACCTGTAGCTACGATACAGTTATTTAAAACAATGTCTTAGTAAACCTGGTATAGTGGCACATATACATTCCAGCACTTTCAGAAGGTCATCCTTGGCTACATATTAAGTGAGAGGCCAGCCTGGGCTACACAATACCCTTGTCTCTAGAAATAAATTAATTAATTAATAAAAATTAAAAATAAGATCCTAACATGTTAGTGGGGCTGAAGAGATAGTTCTAACAGTTAAGAGCACTGGCTGTTCTTGCAAAGGACCTGGGTTTGATCCCCAGCACCCACTCAACCCTCCAAAGCCCAGTCCCAGTAGTTGTCACCCAAGGATCAGAAATCCACATGAGAGTTTACTAGTTTCCTCCCTCCTTGTCTGTCTTTTTCTCCTGAGAAATAAAAGTTGAACCAGCTGACATTCCCACCTTTGACAAGACTAACAAGAACGTTTACTTTTCTTTCTTAAAAAAACAAAACAGGGTAACACTATGTAGCTCAGGCTGGCCTCAACGAGACTTAGGAGTCGCCAGCCCACCACCCCTGAATTAACATCTCCAATTTACAAGGGAGAAAGGCGGAAAAAAAAAAAAAACAAACAGATGGGACTATTAACTTCCTTTACTAGACGCTGAATTCATACATTATTAGATTTTTCTGCTATTCTTTTTATTTCCTTCCAAACAGCAAACCACAGTATCATATTAACTGCTCAATATTACACACAAGCAGCAAAGGTAAAATCTTGATGAAACTACTCTGTGTTATAACATTTTCGTACCGTGTACCAATGACATCCAAGATACCACCGTAAACCCTGGTCTTTCAAAGTCTTACTCTGCTCAGCTGTGCTCCTCAAGCCCACAGGCGGCGACGACGACAAGTAGTTCTGACTAACCAAAAATGGTCAGAGAACCTAGACATTAATTCCAAACATCGGTTGAGTGCAACTGGCCAAACCATCGCTTTACATTTCGAGGCCTGGTTCCAAAAGAACACTTCGGGGAGTGCAGGGGCTTGCCGTGGAAATACTTGCCGCGTTCAGCTCTGGCATGCCAGAGGCCTACCCAGGAACCTGAAGTTTCAAGTCGCTCTCTGAGCATAGCATCACAGCGCTACACAAGAATGCGGCCCTCCGGGGAGGGAGGCACGCCGCGGCGGAGCCCGGGGGAGGGGGGACTGCAAGGAAAGGCCGGGGGGGGGGGGGGCTCGGCCTCGCGGGCCGCGGCCGCTGTCCGGACGCCTCCCTGCGCTTCCCCGCGCTCCCGCCGCACGCACGCACGCACGGACGGACGGACAGACGGCTACGGGCCCGCAGGAGCCAGCGTGGAGGCCTGGCAGCGCCTGCCCTGCCCAGCGCACCTCGGCGGGGCCCGCGACTGGAATGACAGCCCCGGCCAAGCGCCGCAGGGCTCGTGTCCGGGGAGAGCCCAGAGGCCCCGCTGGGTAGCTGTGCGCTTAGGACCACGCAGCCCCGGGACCGGACCTCGCCGCACGCACTCCCGAGGGGAGGCTGACTGGACCTGCCATCCTCCTCCCCTAGTCGGGCTTCTCCACCACGCCGTGGCTCCCGCCTCTCCTCGGCCCTGCACTGCCAGCCTCGGAGTCCTAAGAGCTCCCTCAGGGGAACGTGTCGCAGCCCTCACTCGCCCCCCGGTTACGACATCAGTCACCAGCAAGTCACTCACTCCGCTTCCGCCATCTTCTCTCCTCCATCACTAACACGGGGTGCGCATGCGCCTCCTCTTCCCCTCCCACACCCCCGCCCCCCTCAAGTTTGGGGGGGGCGGAATCTGGGGGGGTGAGGTCACGTGAGGCCAGCGACTGCCAGGCTCCCTCCCACCTCAGCTCTCTCTGTGAGGTGGCCAGTGTTTCCTTAAGTGGTCCTTCCCAGGCACCCTCTATTTCCATGGCTCAGAATCTTTGTCTTAGCCAGGGGTCTGCGACAAAAAATAGAAAAAGTTCTGCTTAGCGCTGGAAATGTAGAAGTTGGTAGAATACTTTCAGAAACGTGCATCAAGTCTTAGGTTCAATACCCAGTATCACATAAACCAGGCATGGCTGGGCCTTTGGAAAATGTAAACAGGAGAATAAAACTTCAAAGTCATCCTAGGCTACCTAATGTAAAACCAAAACCGGGGAGACATTGTTATCAAGTCCCCATACCTTACAAGGGTAAGTCTCAGTTTCCTAAGCCTAAGGTATCCTGAAAACCATGTTTTTCAACCTATGCTGGATTTGAAACCCCCTGATGTATACCCACTCCTTTGCCTTGCTAAACTCATGAACACCTGTGATGACTCCCCTTCCACATGGTGTATTCTTAACCTTGTATATCTCCCAGGCAGCCTTGAGCCCTGAGTCCTCACTCTTCTGTCCTGGTGTTAACAGTCAATTATCTCAACAGCTGTTATCTATCAACGGTAACCCTTCCCCCCCAAAAGAGACCTCAAAAGCCAGTGAGAGGCTGCTCTCTCAAATTCCAATTTAGGATGGGACAGCCCTTTTAGCCAGTCTAAATAAAGCTTGCTTAATCAGACAGTCGTGGAAATGTTTTTTTCTCAGGTCTAACAATAGAAATTTTAAGGCTAGCTTGGGATATGTAAGACCGTGTTTCAAAAAATAAAGCAAAAATTGACTACAACTATAAAACATTAAAGATATGTGTCCAAAGTAGTCTTAATCTGAAGAGTGGATTTTGTAGATACTCATACACAGTATGACTTTGCTTCATCGATCCAAGAAGTAAAACTTTGCTGCTTTTGACAGTAAAATAGTGATTGTAAACAATGTCTCCTGTTTCCTGAGGTGAAGTACACTAACCTCAGTGTCTTAGAGTTCCACTGGTGTGATAAATCATCATCCCCAAAGCAGGTCATTGAGGAAAGGGTTTATGTGGCTTACACTTCTACAACACAGGACATCACTAAAGGAAGTTAGAACAGGAACTCAAGCAGAGCAGGAACCTGGAGACAGGAACTGATGCAGAGGTCATGGAGGAGTGCTGCTTACTGGCTTATTCAGTCTGCTTCCTTATAGAACCAGGACCACCTGCCCAGGGCTGGCCCCAAACACAGTGGGCTGGGCCTGCCTACACTGATCACTAATTAAGAAAACGCCCTACAGGTTTGCCTACAAGCCGATACTCTGAAGATGTTTTCTCAGTTGGAGCTCTCTCCTCTCCAATAACTTTAGCCTTGTGTCAAGTTGACCTAAAACTAGACAGTACCACTGACCCGATTGGCAATTTGACACAGAAACACATCACTGTGAAGCCACAGCCTTTCCTTTCTTTTCCATCCCTGAGATCACACATAAAGACATCACAATATAAAACATTTGTGGAACGTAAAAAGTCCCATGACCTTTAAAAATTCAGACACTTACAAATCCAGGCTCTTTAAAATATCCAGTCTCTTTTAAAATCCAAAGTCTTTTAAAATCGAATGTCTCTCAACTATGGGCTCCTATTAAAATCAAAAATAAGTTTAAAATCTCCTTACTTCAAGAAGGAAGAACCACAGAGCACAGTCACAATCAAATCAACCAAAACCAAACTCCGACTGTATAAATAATACAGTGTCTGCTGCCTCAGAGCCACTCACAATCTTCTGAGTCCCTCCTAAGGGTTTGGGTCAAGTCTCTGGCTTCAGCAGCAACACAACCTGTCTTCCAGTACCGGCTGACTCTGTAGCTGCTGCTGACCTTGCTGATCATCTCATGGCACTGGGCATCTCCAAAACGCTGCCATCTTCTACTGCAACTGGCCTGTATTTTCACCAACAGCCTCTCTGAGGCTCTCTTCTTGGTGCCAAGCCTCAACTTTTCTGCATGACCCCTTCAGACCTGCTGAGGCTGCACCTTCATCGATGGCCTCTCCCAGTGCCATGACCCCATACTGCCTCAAAACCAGTACCACCTGGGTAAACCCTACACTACCAAGTTCAGCTGTTTACATGAGGCACAACCCTTGTGACCTCTCTGTGTGTGAAACCAAGGGGATTTCTTAGAGTGGCTTGCAAGCTGTGGTCCAACAGTGCTGTCTACCAACAGAGATTCCAAGAACCCAGTAGTTGTTCAGTCTACCAGGCTGGATGTCTCAACTGATCACCAGTATACACCGGAATCCCAAAGAAGTAGGCTCTAATGCCTGTGAAGGAATGGACTGGCCAACCAGACTGAGGACAAAGCAGGCAAAGAACTTCCTTTTTCCTTGTCCTTTATATAGACTTCCAGCAGAAGGTGTGGCCCAGATTAAAAGTGGATCTTCCCACCTTAAAGTTCCAGATTAAAAGTGAGTCTTCCCACTTCAAAAGGTTTAATTAAGAAAAGAATAATCCCACTGTGTGCCCAGCCACTGGGTTTTAGTTAATTCCAGATGTAGCTAAGCTGACAACCAAGAGTAGCCAGTATACTCAGTGACTGAGAAGCACAGTACTACTATAAACCCATCTTAAAGCACGATGTAGTTGAATGTGAACTATATTTAACCTCGGAAGGAAGAATATAATTTCCTGTGTGGACTCAAAATGACCTTTTTCATCCTTTTCAAATCTGATACAACTTTTAAAAATCATTTTGTATCTGTTTCGGGTCTACTAAAACTCCTTAAGATCTTTTGGAAAACTTTATATACCAGTTAATGGGAATGAATAACTGTATATTTGAGTGAATATAGCATAAAATGTCATCATATAAGTTAGAATAAAAGCGTATGGACTTGCCTTCTCTTACTTGAAAGGAACGAGCCATCACCAAACACTTTTACTAAATCAAATACTATAGAAACCGAAAATGTTTCTATAGCCTGCTACCTCTCACCCGCTCTTGTGAATGATCAGCCTGTCAGTCACATGCTTCTTCTCAATCTTATCTTCCTCTGTATACGTGTGGGTGGCAGTATACTCGGTTAGCTGTGTCTCCTCAGGTGCTGAATAATGACAGCACAGAGCAATAAAGCTGCAAGGGCACTTAGATGTCACGTGATCCACTGGAGCAAGGATCCGTGGTAATTGCAGAATTTGTATGGTTATCTTCCTCACCCCCTTCCAAAGTGTTTTTCACGTGTGCCATGAGACCTCAGTGCAAGTAGGTAAAGTGCTCAAGAGGCTCTTGAAGATGCTGGGAAGCCCTGTTTCTACTCAGTCTTTACATGGTGTGCATTTATCATTGTGGCATCCCAGAAATGTTTTGAGGAGCAAAGCTTTAGAATGAAGCCAATTTCAGTTCTTAATCTGTTGTACCATCACCTATGAACCCCAGGAATCTATTTTCCTCCACCTTCGACTAATATGCTCATCCCTGTCTCCACCACCATTGGCACAATGAATTTACCAAAATGCAAATCAGTTATCATTTTATACCACCTCCACCATCACCAGTATGGTAGCTATAATTGTCTACTTGACACAAGCTAAATTGTGGTAAGAGAGCTTCAGTAAGGAAATGTCTACCTTAGGTTGACCTGTGGGTATGCCTGTGAGCTGTCCTAATTAAATTAATTGATGTGGAAAGCCCCAGCCCACTGTGGGCAGCACCATTCCCTAGGCAAGAACTCCTGCATTGTGTGGAAAAACTAAGCTGAGTGCAAGCAAGCTAGTAGGCGTGTATTTACTCCTCTTGGCTCTCAACTGTAGATATGGTATGACTAGCTGTTTGATATACTGCCTTGACTTACCTATAATGACAGATTATAACCTTGAATTGTAAGCTAAAATAAGCCCCTTTCTCCATTAAGTATTTTACCATAGCAATGGAAAAGAAACATTCACCAGCCTAGACCAGGCCACCATTCTCTTTCTCTGAGACCACAGGAGTCTATACCTGACAGGTCACCCTGCTTAAATCCTTGTTCCTCTGCCCTCTGTTGCTCATGCAGTAGCTGAAAGAAGAAACCACAGTGTGGCACTGCCCTGCTAAGATTCAGCAAGGGTCTTTCTAGCCTACTCCTCAGTCCAAGCCTTGTGCTTCACCACTGCCCACTGCCTTGTGATGTGAATGCTTTCTCTCTCTCTCTCTCTCTCTCTCTCTCTCTCTCTCTCTCTCCCAGTCAGGACCTTCACACTTCTGCCATGATATTCCACCTCACCACAGACATAAAAGCATATGTCCCGAGTAAGCATAGTCTAAAACACCTGA